GTAGGATAGAAAGATAGTTACCACCGGTATGATGTTTACAGATTAATGAAAATAGATGCATATGTATTATGTTTCTCATAATGCAATACATAGAGGATATTTGTTTGTTTCTGTGTAAGATGAAATTTTATTTCATCGAGTGAGCTTTTAAACAATATTCTAACGATTGGCGTAGCCACAAGTGAGAATGCTGTTTTTAAAGCTCACGAGATGAAATAAAATTACATCTTACAAAAAAAAAAAAAAAAAAAAAAAATTCTTTTTATTACATGTATATGCTTTTCGGGTAAAATTTCTATTTTTCGCATTTAAATAAAATTTGCCTCCCACACTGGCAGCCCCATATAATGTCTGTAGAACTGTCTTTGTAATTTTACTCATACACTAAAGAAGTGTCCATGTACTTTTTACCAAAAACAAATATTTAAACACCTGCAATTAAATTAACCATTCTTTATAATTATATATTGAATGTATAATGATGATGAAAATAACATATTTACATTGAATGTTAATTAATTATTTACTTACTAATCTTGATAATTATCCATTCACGTTTGGAAATAACATTTGTTAAAATAAAGGAAAGGATAATAATCCTAAGATGATAAGTTGGTTAATTGAGGCACACAAAGGGGGATTTATAAATAAAAAGAATGAAATTATATTGATATTTTTCAGTGAAAATATCAGATATACTTTTCACAGATATTTCAGTAATCTATTGAAAAGCATAAAATAAATTAGAGTTTATGTTTGAATTTACACATGTTAAAACTTTGTGACTGTCAATAATATCTGGATACTGGCAGGAAAAGCCTACATGTTGCAACAACACAAAATTGTTAGCCATATTTCTATAAAACTAAGATTTATGGTTTTGCAAAATACACTGCAAAAACCCGGACGCCTGACGCGTAGAATTATTTAACACTGGTGTTCAATAAATTAACGCCAGGCGTTTATATGTTGAACGTCGGGTGTTAGAAATTGGAACATGAATGTAACTTTGGCATTCTTAGTGTTCAAATTATAAACGTGTGTGTGTTCATTGGAAATCTTACAATGTAGACATAAAAACAAAAATACCCTGACATTAGTGTTTTATGATCCAGAATAATAATTTCAAATGTAATGATGAAATAAATTCGAGATATTTGTAAATTTGGCGGTCTACACGAGCAGACGTAAATTTGGCGGTCTACACGAGCAGACGAAACAGTGTTATTTCTCCGTTTTCATCTTCTGACAGGTATTGTGTTGGCATTTAGTCTTTCAGATGGCAAATCTGGTTATATCTTTCCAGTTATAGCTCTTATAATTCTTTGAAATTCAATGTTGTGGCAGTTATCCTTGGGCTTCGCGAAAACTGATAAGATTTCCAGTCTTTTCTTCCCCTGGTATTCCGGGCAGTCCACTGGTCTTTTCTCCACCTGAAACCCTAGTCGTTTCTCCCCCAACATATATTTATATTTTATGTAGGTAATTTGTTTTTGGGGAAAAGATAAGTTTTTTATCATTAAAAGAAGACATGTGTAGAATTCTCATCTAAAGCAGATGTCTCTAAATTGTTTCTTTTTTTTAAATATTTTTTGTTGTTGTAATTTTGTAGATTTCTATCAAAATTGCTGACTAATTACAAACAAGAACCGGTTCAACCGGGTGATGCTCCCCGAGAAGGTTCTGGACACAAGAAAGTATAAAAAAAATGAACAAAGGGCAAAAACTCCAAAATTAGGCAAAGCGGAGTTATGTTTTTTTGCACTGCACTTCTATTCAATGAGATCTATCTATCTATAAAGTTTCCTGATGATATCAGAATTATGTCCCGGGTAAAAGTCAGTGTAAAAATGAACAAAGGGCAATAACTCCAAAATTAGACCAGGCTTTGTTTAGGTTCTTTAAGCATTGCAATTCTATCCAATTATATCTAGCTACCTACAAAGTTTCATGTTGATATCTCTAATAGTTTTAAAGTATTGTCCAGGACAAAAGTCAAAAAGTAAAAATAAACAAAGGGCAATCACTTCAAAATAAGGCAAGGCAGAGTAATGATTCTTAAGCACTGCACTTCCACCCAATGAGACCTATCTATCTACAAAGTTTCATGTTGATATCTCTTATAATTTTAGAGTAATGTCCCAGACAAAGTCAAAGTGTCAAAATGAACAAAGGGCAATAACTCCAAAAGTAGGCCAGGCAGAGTTACGGTTCTTGTGCACTGCACACCTACTCAATAAGATCTATCTACCTACAAAGTTTCATGTTGATACCTCTTATACTTTTAGAGTTATGTCCCGGACAAAGTTCAAAGTGTAAAATAAACAAAGGGGGATAATTAAAAAATAAGGCAAGGCAGAGTTACGGTTCTTGTGCACTGCACACCTACTCAATGAGATATATCTAACTGCAAAGTTTCATGTTGATACCTCTTATACTTTTAGAGTTATGTCCCAGACAAATTTCAAAGTGTAAAATAAACAAAGGGGGATAATTAAAAAATTAGGCAAGGCAGAGTTACGGTTCTTGTGCACTGCACACCTACTCAATGAGATCTATCTACCTACAAAGTTTCATGTTGATACCTCTAATACTTTAAGAGTTATGTCCCGGACAAATTTCAAAGTGTAAATTAAACAAAGGGGGGTAATTCAAAAATTTGGCAAGGCAGAGTTACGGTTCTTTTGCACTGCACACCTACTCAATGAGATCTATCTACCTACAAAGTTTCATGTTGATACCTCTAATACTTTAAGAGTTATGTCCCGGACAAAGTTCAAAGTGTAAAATAAACAAAGGGGGATAATTCAAAAATTAGGCAATACAGAGTTATGGTTCTTGTGCACTGCACACCTACTCAATGAGATCTATCTACCTACAAAGTTTCATGTTGATACCTCTTATACTGTTAGAGTTATGTCCCGGACAAAGTTCAAAGTGTAAAAATAAACAAAGGGGAATAATTCAAAAATTAGGCAAGGCAGAGTTACGGTTCTTATGCACTGCACACCTACTCAATGAGATCTATCTACCTACAAAGTTTCATGTTGATACCTCTTGTTGTTTCAAAGTTATGTCCCGGACAAGAAAAGGGGACGGACGGACGGACGGACGGAAAGACGGACGGACGGACGGATGGACGGACGGACGGACAAGGCGGCGACTATATGCTCCCCCGAAATTTTTTCGGGGAGCATAAAAATGTTCTTATTTATGATGTTATGTCATGAATAAATAAAATTCAATTCATAAGATTAATAAAAAGAATTGATCAAGTCACATAGATCAAATTAAATTGTTTTCATACTTAAACACTTAAGTATTTACACATTTTTTTCTAATTATATTTATGCTCTTTGAAAAGAGAGCAAAAAGTCGCTGCTTTGTCCGACCGTCCGTCCGTCCAAGATCCTATGCATGTCTTCCTTGAAGGAATAGTGCCTGGTGAACTGTCATTGTTATTGTTTAATCTTGTAAATTCAAAGAAATTGTTCACACTCAAATGGTTAAATGAACAAATACAGAAATTTCCCTATTCATATTTGCAGAAAAAACTAAGCATGAAGCCACTTTTATAACAGGTTCCATAGAAGAGGGTACTTGCATAAAACAGTCATCATCAGCAATGATGACTTTGTGTCATATTTGTCACTTATAATAGGGCCAAAAATTTGTGCAGGAGATGATATTTTTTGAACTTTTTGAGACTGGTTCAGATTGTAATTTTGTGTACCAGTTCATACTGCTCAAGGGAAACTGCCTCAATATTGAAGATTTTTATTGCTCTCTATCTTTCAAATGGTAAACAGTTGTATCCAAAATCTTCATTTATACCAAAAAAACATTATATGCCTCATTTTCCAAGACAGTTATCACTGTATGGACCACTCAGACACCATTGGTGTATGCGTTTTGAAGCAAAACATAGATTTTTAAAGCAAAAAAGATAAAGAACTTCAAAAACCTTCCATATACTTTGAGTAAACATCATCAGTTATATATGTGTCATAAACAGTCTGGCTCAAATGGAGAACCAGCTCATGATGGCGACATTGTCAGATTAGGGGTAGAAATATTTTTTTCAGTTAAATATGAAAATTTGAAAGAGCACATGGAAATTCTTTCACAAACAGAATCTAAAAATGAATGATACATGTACAAAACAAAATCTGTCACCATACAAGGAATGAGGTATGATGTCGGTTGTGCTGTAGTTATGGAGTATTCTGAGGATATTCCATTTTTTGCCAATCTGAAAGACATTATTGTATATAAAGATGATAAGTACTTTGTATTTGAAACCACTCATGGGCCTGCAGTATTTGACACTCATATTCTTTGTTATATTCTAGAGCCAACGGGAAGGCTTTCTTTGAATCTTTACACATCTTTAAAATTTAAATGGTCATTGAGTGTATACAGGTACAAAGGAATGTTGGTAACAATGAATACAAATACACACACATGTGAAATTTTCTAAATTCTTACGACATTGTGTGTTTAATACAAATGCAATAGAAATATAAATTTTAATAATCTGCAAGTGTAGGTCTAGCTTTTTGAAAATGCCAGAATTCAATTGTTGAAAAAAATTTCTGTATCAGTTTGCTTTTGAATTGATAAAAATGCCATCATATAAAATCGTAAATTGTGAGAAGACTGAGAGGAAGTGTGTTGTAGCCTCTACTTTGAAAGAATTAGCAATAAAAGGTAAGTTTTTTTATTTCTTTTTTTTATTACTGAATTTGTATTAGGTAAATGATAGGCTTAAAATTTGTGACGGTATTAAGTTATATATAAATGGCATTAAAAACTATGTCTACTAAAGACAGAGAACAATTTGAAAGAGGATGTAATGTTCTTATGACATCGTTAGGAAAGAAGGAAAAGAGTCAAATGGATTCAAAATGGAGAAAGATTTCTTTGAAACGAATATTGTTCCACAGATAAGAAGGAAGATTGCTGAAATTGAAGCAGCAGAGATGATTGGGAAACTAAAGATTGATATTGATTTCAAAAAACTAACCAATTTGGATGAAAAGTGTGATATGGAAAATATAAAGAAGGAACATGTACAACTCCTAAAATTGGAAAGTAATTTGCAGGGTTTAACACCTTTTGCTCAGTTCGGTCGCGGGAGGTTATACTTCACACTGTCAAATAGCATTCAAATAGGAGAAAAACCATTCAAACAAATTGTTAAGAGGAACTTGACGTTTCATACAGAACATTTCCTAGGTACATGGCATTTTTGAATGTAATACTTAACTTCCCAAGGCTTATTCTGTGTGATTTATCTTTCTTACAGATTGTAAAACACAAGGACAGGTTATTAAAATACTTAGAAAGTAAGGAAGGACAGAGCATTCGAGATAGTCTAAGGGCGCGTTTTAGGTTGACAACAAACTGAGTTCGGTTTTGAAACCGGGTTTTCAAACCTTCCATTTGTTTCGTAAAACTGGTTTTGAACTAGAAAAGGTTTGAACCATTTGTTTTCCAAAATCGCTAACTGGTTTGCAAAACCGACCAAACTGCCCCCATAGGCGGTTTGTACGGTTTGATGTATCCGATATTACGTGCACTTGTGGAAAAAAATGGCGGACCTCGTGGATGAAAATGGAAACAGGTAAAGAAACATAAGAATTTGTCAATTATGGCGAAAGGCCAATGTTATTTAAATGGTATGTTTGTGTATGTGGGCTCAGTCGTACAAAATAACATTTTGTAAAGGCACTCTGCGATCGGCAAAGAACATTTGTACCAATTCTATGTTGAAATTCGTTCAAGATAATTCGTACCCGGTTGCAAGTCAAAATGCCCCCAAGTCAAAACGCCCCCACGTCAAAATGTCCCCATTTTGGCACCCACAAAAAGTGAGAATGTCCAAATTTGCGACCCAAATCGCTCCCATTCCAATCAAAACAATAACTTCCATCCGTTTTAAATCATTAATTTTAAAAATTTGACTATAAAGAGGTATTTAAACATGATTTCATTTTCCAAAATGGGGGCGTTTTGACTGTAAACATTCGTACCCCAGACAGTCGTGTACTCATCAGCGCTCATGTAGGCTACAAATGTATGTAATACAGGGCAGATCCTTTTTTAAATGTTTCAGGGTTATGGCTATTGGGCCTCTACACAGTGTCATCCGGAACGTTTCCATCAACACCTCTCAAGAAAAACTCTGAAGAGTTATTTGGCATGTGATGAAAAGTATAGAGAACAGCTGGAAAGCAGCATGTACCCAGCAGACATTCCAGTCATTGTCCGGCAATATACAAACGCAGTGTTCCAGAGAGTGCTGAACAACCTTAATGGTCTTGGTAAGGATGCAGTCGAGGAGATACATCCTTGGGTGCTGTGCACCTTGATTGATTGGGACGAGTTTGACAAAGTCATATGCACTACAACAAATCATACAGGTATCTAACTTCTTGGAGTTTAACATTGACCTTCCAAACATTGATCGAATGACCATTTAAGTTTGTATTGAACATTGAAACGATCTAGCAGTACAGAAGTGTCTTAATAAGTTGATATTTTCAATAAATAAATTTTGGCATGAAAGACATGGAAATGGGTGTCATATTTAAGAAAAGGTTGTAGCTAACAGAGGTACTGTTTTTTCTATGTAGAATGTATGACATACCCTGCAATCTTGTATAATTAAGTTTCATAAATTTACGTGGAAATCTTCCATGTGTTGAGTATTTTCATTTCTTAACGGTCCTTACAGAAATGTGTCCCACTACCAGCTCTATATGCATGTATATTACATTTTGTACCATGTAATACAATGACTGAAAGTGACATAAACAAATCTTTCCATAATCCATTACAGATGACAGAGATACAGAGTCTGGAACAGGCACACCATGCGAAATGCCAGAGATTAGATCAACTTGGTTAACATCTTCCTCTTCAGATGGTGTAGGTAAGTAACATCTCCAGCCATATTTTTTATTAGCACTGCTGGTCACATACTAGTAAAGCTTAGGAGAGCTTATGTCATGGTCTGATATACATCATCGGTTTAATTGTCGTCATCATAAACATTTGCTACAAACGACATCTCTTCAGACAGTTAATGGAGAAGTGGCCATTCGTCTAAGCACATTAGCTTTTTTGCATTATTACTGTCTTGATATATCTGTGTAGATTATCGGAGTTTTTTTGCATCATACTATCAACTATCAAATTCAACTATCAGCTTCAGCTTGTCTGTATTTGTGTCTGCAGCTGTATTGCCAGCAAACAGCATAATCATTCTCAGTCAAAAATGACTTGCTAACCAATAGCAAGGAGTTTCTTCAAGGTGTTATATAGTTTATTTAAAAAAGTAGATGGATATAATATCCAGTATACCACGTTGCATTCCGGATTTAATTGACTATTTTCAGTAACCAAAACACAACCATACCATCAAGATCAGATGGTAAAAGCTGTACTACTGTGCGGCATAAGCATCCATTCCTTCATTTGACTGCTTTGAAGCTATTGTGGTTGTCATAGTGACAAAATATTGCAAGTGTTAATCGCATATTATTGTGGTCTGACCGAAAATGTTAAACAACTTGACTTCAAATGTATTCAGTCACACATAAATGCTCACATTATTATTTCATGGTGAAGGACTGATTTTATTTATAGCACCAACAAGCCAGAATGGCCATGATGGGACTACAGATGCTGCTGAGCCAGATGTTGTTGCGGAAAACATGAAGTCTGAGAAACAAGTTTGGACAAAACCCGCAGTCCTGAAGCGGATTGCCCTGCATCAAGACCACGAGGCTGACTTCAGAAAACCTTCACTGAAGAAAACTAGAAATGTGTCCATAGGACACGGATGCCCCCACACGCCACTGTTCTGTCAATCTTATGACTCTAGGTCAAATATTTTTTGGACTACATGTGCCACAAGTTGAAAACTAAAAATCAACAAAGGGCCATAATTCTGTTAAATTTAATCGCAGCAAAAATTCCTTCCTTTACTACCATCTACACATTAAGGTTGTAAATCCCTGGAAGTTTAAGCAAAATCTGCCATCCGATTTAAGAGGAGTTGCATTCACAAAATTTCTACATCAAAGTATATAGTGAAAAAATCATCAAAGGGCCATAATTCTGTAAAATTTGGTCACAGCAAAAATTCCTTCCTTTACTACCATCTACACCTTAAGGTTGTTCATCCCTGTAAGTTTAAGCAAAATCTGCCATCCGGTTTAAGAGGAGTTGCGTTCACAAAATTTCTACATAGTATATAATGAAAAAATCAACAAAGGGCCATAATTCTGTTAAATTTGGTCGCAACAAAAAATTCCTTCCTTTACTACCATCCACACATTAAGGTTGTTCATCCCTGTAAGTTTAAGCAAAATCTGCCAACAGGTTTAAGAGGAGTTGCGTTCACAAAATTTCTACATAGTATCTAGTGAAAAAATCAACAAAGGGCCATAATTCTGTTAAATTTGGTCACAGCGAAAATTCCTTCCTTTACTACCATCTACACATTAAGGTTGTTCATCCCTGTAAGTTTAAGCAAAATCTGCCATCCGGTTTAAGAGGAGTTGCGTTCACAAGATTTCGGGACGTACGGACGGACGGACGGACGGACTGACTGACTGACGGATTGACGGACGGACGGACAAGTGCAACGCTATATGCTCCCACATTGTGGGGGCATAAAAACTATCTGGTTAATTATTGGATCAGATATCAACAAAGAAACCAAGTTAAATGGTACATATTCAGCTACTCAGTGCGAGCAGAAATGGAAAAATATTACTAAAGTGTATAGGGACACAGTTGACCATAACATGAAATCAGGCAATGAGCGAAAAGAATGCCCTTACTTCCATGAACTGCAGGACTTTTACGGGTACAGACCCAATGTTACTCCATTGTATGTAAGCAGCTCCATCAAGTCACCTCAGACTCAAAGCTCTTCTGTAGAGACAGAAGATGAGAAAGATGTAGAAAAACAAACATCAAAGAAGCCAAAGGTGAAGCATAACCGCAAGGATGCAGTTGTTGAAATGCTACAAGCGATGCGTGATGACATGAAGCAGGAACAAAAACAGTTAATGGAAGTTTTAACCAAACAGCACGAAGACCGTATGGCAAATGAGAAAGGCAAACTAGAACTTTTTGCATATCTTGCTTACAGGGGTTTCTCGCAGGGCCCCCTTTTCATATCGTCTACCATGCATCTTATCACCCTTTCGCATTTCCGTACAGTTTTCAAAAAACTGCTAGCAATCTCCAACTTATCTGACAGGCATTACAAACTCCACAGCTTCAGAATAGGTGCATGCACCCAAGAAATTATGACCGGAACTCAGATGTCATGCAAATGGGACGTTGGCGTTCCCATGCATTCAAACGTTTTATCGGGGTTCCGAAAATACAAATGGCAACATCTACGTGAATTTATAACAACTTATATTAATAATTCAAACTGACGATTGTGGTGTGTCAATACTACTCGCCAAAAAACTATCGACGAACCTATAATTCCGCGCGCGTTGTGACTCTTGTAATGACGGTGAGCTTTCAAAAAAAACCATTTTAGAATCCTAGGGAACCGCAAAACACTTAATACAGGTCATATTGACTAATACTCTAGTTGTGTCTTTAAATATCTTAAATCCCTTGAAATTTTAGACAACTGTTTTTGAAATAAATCCAATCTAAGCATCAGAGTCGCACTTGGGGAGGGCACAATCGTGTCAGCGAGTACTATAACAGAGAGTAACTCAAGCGTTACTATTCTATGCAACGGTAATTTGCAGTTGTCTCTGATATATAATCAATTATTACATAAGAGACTCGCCATATATGCGTGTGTATCTCGCCAAATAGACAACTCTAGCTAAGGTGATGATCACTATAGTACTTATATTGTAACGCAAAGTTGTCTGCTCAGTGCTCATATTAATATCATTTTAGAGCGTACCAAGCACTGACATATTGACTTGTTTATAAAGACATGAGACATTGGATGTCGTGACTACGTAATATCACCTCACTATAATACTTCTAAAACTGACCGTCTAGGTACATGTCTCTATAATATATAATTCAAATTGTTAACTAAAGCAACTGACATCTGCCTACGATCCTGAACCGAGACTCCTCGTCGAAGTGCATAAGTCAAGTGATCATCAGTAACAATATATAATCTACAATGACATCGATATGCTCGATGCCCCGTAATTGTAATTCAAATATTTAAACATAAAAGCACTGAACTTTGCTATGTTCTGACATTCGAGTCATTGTACGGAGAATGTGTACGTATCATCTCCATACTATAATTAAGTGTAACATGCACGTAGGCACCTGATCTAACTGTATTAATTCAATTAACTCACAGATGACAATTTGCTTGTTTCGACATCAGACAATTAAGTAGAGGCAGCGACACAACTCGAGCAAAGGGAAACCATAGAGGACGCAAAAATTACAAAAAAAAAAAATACGAATAACACACCGCAACAACCCAAAACGCATCCGTCTCTACATCATGAACTACCGTTGAGTTCATTAATGTTATCAATCAATCAACATAATGATTATATACTATGTAATTGAAATACTCGAAGTATTAATCTAGACGGCGTAAAGATATAAATAGTACAACAAAAATTCTTTATCTCGAGAAACTTATAATGTATTATTAATGTCAACTGTTAATAGCTCTTCCGCTAGCATAAGTACTGTATAGTGACTATTGCTTTGGTCCAATTTATCGTCAGCAACTTTTCAAATAATTTTGAAACTTAATCACGACATTCATATGTTAACGTAGTTTAACCCTGAATCTAACACGTCTAGGCATCGACTAGATGACTCAGACATAGTTCCAATCTAACATTCTGTCTCTGTAGACTCCTTGACACATAAAATATTAAACTAGCCTCGACTCAGCGAGAAAAAGAAGAGACAAAAATATTAAAATGTGTCACACACCGAGAGAAACAAAACCAAACACAGCAGGTAACTATGACTACCAAGGAACACCAGAGAAATAGCAGTACCACCATAATATTAGCCGTATCAGATCGAAGAGAATAGATAATTAGAAGCACAGAGCAATTATCTCATCTCTCAAAGCTCATACCAGACAAATCGTATACAATGCCAAAGACTGTTAGTTATTCCATCAACAATACTCATACGTAATTATGGAAAATCAGGATGCCAATGTCAGCAGAAATGAGACAAGACAGATCAAAATGTAAATAATTAAATAGAATATATAATAATAAAAACTCACGGATTATATTGAGATCAGCAGAATGTAGATCATGAATAGAAAATAAAAAGAGATCTGTATTCGCTATATTGTCCATTGATTATATACGCTATACATAAAAAGTATAAGTAATAATTCTAAAGATATCATCCATGTCATCCTTCAAAAGACCCCTCCAACAACCACCATCGGGATAAAACAATAAGCGAATTTTGAATACATATAAATGCTCGGTGAAACCAAGAATTTAAACTATTTGACTATGGAAGATTAGAACTAAAGTACTCTTTAAGATTCCTTCAGCAAGACAACAGAGCTTACTGGTCAACATTGGTATACGTATTAGACGTACAATGCGTCTTGTATACATTCAAACAGACTTGATCATTCGGTTTACAAAGCATGTGATGATTGCCTTGCCATACGTGTAGGGTACTTAGACACATATAATACAAGTCCTCTCGCCCTCACTCGCAAAAATCTTACCAGATGCACCATTATCCCACCGGTCTAGCCATTCCCTGGCTTCGTTTTTTTATCCTTAAAAGTTCTTTCACATTACAAAGACTAAACAACCATCTGAAAACGCGTCCCAATTATATTTGTCTGCTCGTAGCAATCCAGGCATAGAACGCTGACAAAGTAGGCTAACCTCTTGGTGAAACAACACCAATGCGAAGTTATTCAAGAGGGGTATTTTTAGTGTAGGCTATATGCACTGAAAAAACTCGAGCTATTGAAGGCGGAAACAGTTTAGATGCATTGCTTATTGGACCCTCTGTTGCAAATCACGAGATGCACAGATGTATGAATGGAATGTTTCCCTCTTAAATCCTCGCGGACAATAATGTAACTCCATAAATCTTCTGTGTAGGCCATTATATTTACCTTTAGTGAATATAGTAAGTTTATTCCAGTTTCAATCACTCGAAATGGTCGGTTTGGCTCAACACAGGAAAAATATAGGCTAGAGTTTCATTCAGTCTATCACCTTCTTCAGACGAGTTGATTACACAAATTGGAGTGATTTTGGTGTTAAGATCTTTTCGACACACATATAACACTACAAGATATGGATATTAACAAGTGGTCCTATCACATTAAAACAAAAACCAAACATGCATCAAAACATGCACGACAACCTTACATCACTCCAAGCTACTTAATACTTGACCATACCCTAACACACAAACTCACCAGCTTCTATGCAAAAAACCACACGAACCAGCAACAACCACTCACAGTTCCCTTCTGATTCAACCTGCAAACCGCTCCCCCAGATCTTCATTACACCACACTACTTCTGGCATCGCCCAAAATCCAACTTCAATCATAATACATTCTGACTGCGTCCAGATTGTAACTTGGTGCAGATGTCTCCAAAAAGAGGAACGAATCAGTGACCCAAAACAAATAGCAATAATAGACCCTCACACAGGCGATGTGAGAGATATTACAGAAGACGTGAATGTCGACAAATACAAAAAACAAAAGTAGAAATGGCTAAGAAACACGGAAGGGTAATTATGAACGATCCTATAACCAGACTGTTATGTCCACAAATATCTTGTAGTACGAACAGGACATTTGTGACGCCTAAGATCTACTTTTGATTAGATTAATACAATACTTGCCTAATAATATATATATTTTCTAAATAAAGGTGATATTAGACGTTTGCATCATTAGGATGTCAAGCTCCCTTATGTTTTTATGTCAGTAACAACATAATTATCCATAGTGTAATTTGTTGCTAACCCAGTACGTGGTCAGGATTACAGGCCATTACCTTCCTAGTACTGAAACAGGCTCAACGGGCTGTACTTGTAGCTACACGTAAGTGTGTGTACAAAAAAACACCATAAATAACACGGCGCCCGAACACCAGGCGAGCCAATGATCCACCGAGAAATATTACACGAACAAACCCCAAGCGTACAAAACAAGAGCATGGGTACGATTCGCTCATCGGGACGAGAAACCGCTCTAACCGGCACGATGCTACTCAAGAAACAAGAGGCGCTCCACAATCTACCACAAATACGCGCGCACACAAACCAGAAACTCAACAGTACCAACAAACAACACATGAAATAATGCAATATTGATTTAGAAAAATAGGTTTATAAAACACGATATAATAGATAACTCACAGATCCAGTTGTACAGTGAAATGCTGGGCCTCTGCTGGCACGAAACGAAAGTATTCACAACCGCTGCCATTAACATAGCTAATAGAACCAGAAGAATGTTCGGATAAAAATATAAAATAAAAACTATTCCAATGTAACACAAATAGAATTAAGTGATAAGGATATGTCAAAAAATGAGATACGACAACAATACGTATCAGGAGTAACCAGTCCTGACGACTACACCCATGTGATCGCCCTTCGCACTCCACAGAAATTGAATACAGATCCAGACAAAAAACAAACCAAAGTGCCTACTGCCTCCGATATATCATAAGCGTATTACATATGCTAACACTACCCATCAATGTGATTCATGCTGTCTCTATGATATATGCCTAAATATAGTTCTTTTACTAACTCTCCTATTACAATTTAATAGATATATCATGCATAAAATGTAAGTAATAATATATATTCCGTATAAGCAAGATGACATTTCAAACTATATTTAATGGGTAGGAGAAAGGGGAACAAACATATTTTATCTATTCTGAACGCTAAGTAGTGTATCAAATTGAAAATCAATACTCCATATCAATGGAGGTATTGTCCTGTTCACATACAAGTTAATCTCTTATCATGAATTTTAAGGTTTGTATAACTGGCAATAAATAATAGATTCGACAAGCGTGACCATTTCACAAAAATGCCAATCTTATAATGTACCAATTTGTAAACAAAATATTAACATTAAATGATCAAAATTATAATACAGATATTTAAATATCGATTGGACTCTGTCTTGCAGTTAGCAGACTTTTATGTCCAACCTCACCCACCAGCCTCACGCCAATCCCACCTCAACCTGGTCTTCTACGCGCATCCGATATTTGTTCCAGTGACTGGCTAAAGACAAACGTCAAAACACATCCCTGTTTAGAAATACAGAAGACAAAAGGCGTTCACCACTGTGTGGCCAAAACTCATGCTTAAAGAACCCCAGGCCCAACCTATGCAATTCACTGCATGAGATCATGAAGAACACCCAGTGACAGAGACATCAAGTATC